TAAATCACTTAAACTCGTTTAAGTATCTGGCCTTTCAGACGTTTTCTTCAGTCGTGTACACAAGTTAATGCGCGCACACGAACACACAAGGTGTTTGAGCTATCGAGTGAACAGTTGACTATTACTCGGAACAAATTTTGCTGATTCTTGGCTCAAACTCGTTGACGTAGCTGGTAAATAGAAGCTCCTAGTTGGTATTTGTTATTTGAAGGGAACTCCATTGTAATTTATGACGAAAAGATGTAGTATAGATGTGTTTTCCCATTACAATTATGGAATTAATTTGGCTTGAGGCAGCCAAATTTCTAAAACTGCAGGTGCACGCTTGCGTCAGGAAGTCAACGACCATGCGGTTATTGGTACGTCGGAGACTTTATACTTGAATTATTATAAACCCTAATCCCCCATTTGGTGGTGACATTATTTCCTTCAAAAAGGAAGTTTCGTCGTGGAAAATGCTACTCACTTGCAACACGCATTCATATAATCTGTGATTATTTTTGACATATTGCACGATTTATCCGGTATGATATTGACTGTGATTATAGCATTTATTCTTGTTGACAGAAGAGCAAAGTACGTTGTTGGAGAAGTGCAAGAGATTGGTCTAATGCTTATAGAGAAGGTTAGGGGTAGAAATTAAGAAGAAAGTCTGTGTTTCGGAATGTTAGTTAAACGTGAAAATGAATAAAGTATTTAGGATAGAAGAGGTATAAGCAGTACAAGAGTTATCGTGGCATTTGTCTTCTCATTGGGGTGCCTTGATAGTTCTGTTTTAGGTTTTTCTTATCTATGCATGTTCACGTCTTCTGACACATTGGTTGTAACGACATCCATATCCAGGAGGACACTTGCTACAACTCGGTCCCTTCCTATATGGTCTCTTTTTCTCAATTCCTTCCCTAAAAAATTAAATATGAAATGAAGTCATAGGGAATATTGTTGATGCATTAAATTCGTTCAGTTAGGCATTGTGTTTCTATTCTGGTATAAAAACTAAGTGTTCCATTTGTTACCACTTTACTTCAAAGCAATATCGCTACATTAAAAAAGAGTATATAGCGACATTAGTGCAATATAATGTTAGTCATCTAGAGTGCCAGAATAGTTTCAAATATTAGGTTTAATACATAAACCACACGGCTTACATAGGGTCGTACTGACAAATCACTGAGTAGATTGGCCTAAAACGTCCGGGTCCAAGGTATCCGCACTTGTGCATTGCACATCCAACTCTCGTAGAATCAGCCCAAACAATCTGTTAAATAGTCGACAAGTGTAGGAAGCGTTAATTAATACAAGTGCCATGATTTGCTTCCGATAATCAATGTGTTTTATAGCAAAATTAATCAAAATCACGCATGTAAGTATTCTCACAGTAGAGCCGAAAAATACGTTATTTTGCAAATAATTTACATAGTTACTCACCCGTTTATATCCAGCACAATCGCCGCTGCAGGTATTAGTGTCAAAGTCATAAGAACGCGCCTCTGTTGCATAATAAAAAATCATATCCAAGTAAGTGGGTTTCCTTTCGAAGTACAGGCGCATATTTTGTGTTTCATTGTGGAATTTGACAGTAACGTTGGGCCTACGCACAACGCATTCAGTCAGCGACTTTTTGGCCAACGCCTCCAGTTTTTTTGAGTATTTCTACATGATAGCAGAAAAATTTCATTAACCACGAATTTGACAATTTAACATTTATATTAAATAGGATGTCCTACGAAGCATTTATCAGTAAGCCTCTTTATAATTTATAAAAGCCATGTAACTGATGCATTAGATTTGCAAATATAACCGTTGTTGCTAGAAAACCGATTATTTTAGTGAAACCATGTATTGCAAATAAATTCTAAAGTAAATGTTTGCAATAACCTTTGTGGTTAAGATGGACACTATAGTCCAGCCTTGAGGGTGAAAATAAAAACATCACAATTTAAAACAGGGACATACCATTAATTTCATGTTGCTGGCACAGGGACTGACACCTTCTCGTATTTTCGTATGACCTTCCACAATCAGGTGGCGTTCTTCTTCTGAGGGTATCTCAGCTGTCGCAAGGCATATCAGCGCCAAAAGAGAGATCAGGCCCCTTTCCATTTCCATGTATGATCTTACTTCAACTGAATAATTTATTTTTCAAACATGCATCTTTACAATCATGCAATTTATGCATTCAGACTGCATGGAATTGGCAACAGCCAATCGCTACGTGATTAAATGTGTATTCCGAATAGTTACTGGTTCGTTTAGTTCAAAAACATTTCCGAGCATGGATCAGTGCAATTGTGTGAGAAAATCAATATTGTTTTGGAGTAGCAAATGACGGTAGAAAATAAATTAAAGGTGTAACATTTAGGAAATTCGCTACATAACAAACCGAAATATTTTAATTAAGAATATACCTTCAAAAATTTCACGATGCTACATTCATCACAAGTTAAGGACCTTTATTTTTGCCATCTGTCAAACGCCATGGTAAATGCAAATAATGAATCATTGTTTTTCACAAATTCTTAACAATGAAATCTGTAGAGGTTTTTTTCCCAAAAGCACGAATGAAATGAATGCTAATCCAACCACTATGTGCACGTCTTGCCAAACAAAATATGAGGCAGCGTCGCTAGATATTTGTCCGTACGAGAGACCGGTATGTACGTCACGCAACTTCAATTTTTGGTAACCCGAATCGGCGAGTCCATATGGAATTTGAGTGCGGCGATTGCTTACAGTTAAGGACGTAAAGTTTAAGGTCACTGTCCTTCAAGCTAACCACTAAACCAGCGTCACACAGCAGGTATTCGATGGAGTTGATCAGTATTCCTAGGAAGCGGAACTAGTAAGTTCTACACAGTTGGGCTGTTTTGTAAAATGCGTGCAGTCATTAAATTGTTTGGGCACCATAATAAGGTAAACAGCATGTATGACGACATTTTATGATGGGAGTTTTTCGAGTATCGGCTCTACAAAATACGCACCATTCCATTGGATCCCATGTTAGGAACTTCCACATGGTGCCTATATTTTTCTCCTTTTTATGCCATGTTTAATTTAATATTATAACGATGGAAAACATTTAAAATCTGTTTCCAGTCGGATAAGAAAAACTTCATCCATTGCTTTTTTTAAAAAAAATTGCAGTTTACAGGCCTCTAAGCAATTGTAGCATATATATATAGTCATGGGCATTGTAACAATTATTCCTCTAGATCGGTTTTAAAACGTTTCAGCCACATTTTCCTGGTGTGCTGTTTTCGAAAACACGTTTGATTTTAAATATTTTTCGATGGAAGTAGGACACGTTGCAGTTAATGCAAATAAAGCAATTGACACTAAGCTATGCATGCAAAATGGTAAAATTTTTGGTGTTGCAACTAAACCATCTAGTTTAGGTAGGATTTTCGACTTTTCATTTGTGTCCTATTCAATTGTACATGCATAAATTACGCTCTATTAGGCTTTTGAAAAACGTGGCTATGATGTTGATGTCAGCGACAATTAACCTACAACATCGGTGTTGCAGTTTGGGTATTCCCTCCCAGAATAGGGTAGTTTTTATACCTGCCTGTTTCCAGAAATAGGCGATCTGCAAAAATATGAAGCGGTGTAAAAAATCTAAGGGAATTATTTTTTTTAAAAATGACCTTAGCTCAGAATATATTACGATTAAAAATTACAATAAACATTTTTTGGTGTTTACTGCAGGCTTTTCAGCAAATATATTCCCTGAAGATATCTAGAACTCTGCGGTAATAAAACATAAGACCCTGTAGTGAGCGATGCTTTTGCATGGACATCCCCGCTTTCTGTGTGAACTGGCTGATTGGAAATCAACTGCAATAGTCATCTGGAGCTCTGAATGTACTCATACGACGACACAACTTGGTTCAGTCACACAAGAGCGGTCCCCTAAGCCCTTTTTGATCTTCTTAGTCTGCTCCGGAATATTTGGATCATATCCAGCGTAGCGGCACATGCTGACGCCTCCATCGAGCCTTTTGGTTATGTTGCGCATGTAGTGGACAGACAGCCACGGCCGAGTTTACCAATGATTCACCCCATTTTTTATTGGCCTCTGTCAGCATTCGCCTGTACGCACGCGTACTCATGCGTACACAAAGCTGGTAACACTGATAAGCGGCCGTGTCCTCTGTCGCCTCTTGTTACACTCTTCTCGAGTTTTCACGGACTGCCAACTAGAGGGTTGTAAGGTAGTCTTGAAACTAGCCACTGCACACATACTGCGCAGACACTTGTGCGAAGTAAATACTTTAGGTAATAAGAATGGCCAAATATAAAAAAAAGTTAGCTTTGCTTTCACCGAACTTGCTTGACTGCGAAATATTACAAAGCACAAGTATCCATGGCAAACCTTTTTTGATAAAAGGTTCAGCAAGTTGCCTCTTGCCTAATGATTTTAGGAACAATTACTCAATTGCTTTTTTTACAAAAATGCATTAAGTTAAAAGTGTTTATTTTGTCAAAAAATTATGTTATGAGATTTATTTATTTATTGAAAAATTCTGTTCGTTTTCTTGGGCTGGTGACAGTTTAGAAATTTGAACTTTAAATAATATACTGATAGTTAATATGAAGATCAAGATCAAAATTGGGAAAGCGCTTTGTTAGTAACAAAAGAATCAAGATACTGAAAGGTAAAACGTTCTGGCTAAAGCCATTTTTCAGAAACCTGGCTTTTAAATGTAAGAAAACTACGCAAGTGCATGAAGGGAAAACAAAACAATTAAAGAGGTTTCAGAAGCAGACAAAAAAGATGAAACGGAGGTTGTTGAAATCGTCACCGATGGATCGACTGGCGCAGAAGTTTTCGCACACTGGTTTCGATTGCAGACGTCGCCATCTTGGCACATACTGCAACTCCTTCCTTCAAGGTAGGGCTTTTGCCCGTTCATATTTCCACTAAGAAGAACCATGAAGGCAGATAAGATATCCAGGCATGTGAAAAAATCACTTAATTAATGAGTACTTAGAAAAACTCACGCCGGTTTGTACTGACAAGCCATAACATAAACCGGTTTCGGAGATGAAGGGAAAGAACTGTCACACTGCTTTTTTGCGCAGCCTAGTTCAGATGATGTTGCCCACACCATCTGTAAGAACAAATAACAAAGGTTTGTAAAATGTTCATAAACATCAGTTTTAAACTTCTATATTATTATTTATGAGTGCTTATCTATGATTGCTATTGTGTTAGTTTAAAGAACAAAATGAAACAGCCTAGTTCATAGCTCAATTTTGGGAAAAGGAACTATTTTCCATCACAAGACGCACATTATGCAAATTATGTCTCCTCTGTATCGATTGTAGACAAGAGCTAGATGTCAGAAGATTGTCGGTATGACTTGCAAACTGAGGCATTTCATTCGATATACAATTTGTAATACAAATGGACAACTGCTTGCCTGCGTGTAGTGCCCACAAATGTGCTTGCAGGAGTTGTCGGCGTAGGTGTAATTAACTATTTCGTTGTACCAACCCTGAGCCATTTGTGCCAATGTTGGTGTTAAACCAGCCATCATCGCAAGATTTTGCCCAATGCCTTTGTAGGCCGGGAATTGCGAGTCGTCTGGATGCTTCATTTCACAGCGAGCAACCCAGTCGATTGCCAATTTTTCCAATTCTTCAGAATAGCTCTTGATCAAACAAAGAAAAGGCATTAAATGTAAAGGCAAAATGATACCAATGACAAGCTTAATATTTATCATCAGGATATATGTTGTTTGACTATAGACGCAGTTAAATCAATGTGCTCCATTGCATTGTGGAATTCAAGCTGTGTTAAGCAAAAATTGAAAATTGACAGGAAAATGTTAAGCTGCAAGTTGACATATACTAAACTAAATTGTCGAAATGTGGGTTTCATAACTCTGCATAACTTAATATCAGTTTACAAATATCCTCACAAATTATTAAAAGCTCACAGAGTCCATTATATATAAACACAACACAGCTAGATATACCCAGTAAGTGTCTGAAACTTTAAAGCGGCTCTCAGGTTCACTACATACCATCATTCTCATGTTGCTTGCAGTTGGGTTAACCTTTTCGCGTGCCTTTGTGTGAAATTCAAGTATTCCATTCCGTTCTTCCTGTGACGGAGCTTGTGACATTACAGTCGATGTCATCACAAGAAAAAAGATAAGTTGCTTCATTTGTCTAATGCAGAGTAAAATGTAAATCGACAAATACGTTATCGTAATAAAGATCACACAGAAGTCGTGCTAAAGATATCAAAAAGTGTATGGTGATAAGGTTTCACTTTAAAATAATCCTTTTATAAAATATCTCAGCCAATAAAAACAGCAAAGCCTTAAAGCACTTTGCGCAATTTTAATGTTCTGAGTTAAAAGAAAGTACGCGAAACCAGATGGGAAGACGTTGCGTGAGAAAATGTGTGTCTACCTGAACAGCCTCTTACGACTTTGTATGGAACGAGTACAGAGTAAATTTTAAATACGTATGCGTATTCATTTAACTTCCTACGATTTTAGCTATCTCAAAAATGACTGTAAATTTATATATTGAAAACGAAGCAAGCAGATTACAGATGACAATCATAAAAAAGAAGAGACAATTTAGTTCTTGAATTTACAAAAAAAAATTAAACAAAGTACGTCACTATTTGGCAAACTCTAATCAAAATTATGCGTGTAAGTACTTGTAAACTTTTTAAATTTCCTATAAAGAAGTTTTGATATTATATGTGGAAATGCATAACATGCAACCAAAATGCGTCGATGCTGAAATTAATTATTTACTTTGCCATTTGAAGAACATATTTCTTTGACTATCTTTTTTTAATCTTTGGCAAGTACACCCTATGTTAAGTACACTTATCTTGAACGACCCTAAAATTTTTCTATAGCAAAAACATTTGCCTATTTCGACTAATTTTAGGAAATAAAATCCCTGCCAATTGTAAAAAAGCTACTTTTAAGCATAATTATTGCATGCCTTTCATCACCCTTTGCCAAAAATGTTTTCTTTCATACTCAGACAAGCAGAACACCGTATTTCTTAGCAGCTATTAATTAATAGTGGACATCAGAATATGATCTCTTTTAATTGTATCATAAATGTAAGTCGCTTTCTTCTTCATTTAAACGTGGTTGAAATTGTGGTTATGGTCGCAAATGCGAGTTACATTATTACCGGCTTACTCCTTGAGGTGTTATCATCCGGGTATTTCTCACACACAATTCTCTACATAAAACCATTACCATCGACGCCTGTTAATTAAATTAAGAGGCAAGCAAATTCCTTTCTCTCTTCCGTGTGATGTGAACAAAAGCGCATGATTGCAATGAGTTAAAAGTACAAAAGCAAGGAGTGAAATGCGCCTGAATAAAACTTCCTGTCATTATTCCAAACTCGACGCTTCCTCTAATGTGATAAATTAAGCGAATTTGAATACAACCTTCAAAACACCACGTTTGGGTAGTAAATGCGTCATAAGTGGCCTTTTTCTATCTCCCTTGAGCTGGCTAAGAATGCAGAACTGCCCATTTAACATTTATTAAACTAAATGAATTTATGTAAATTAAGCATTTTTTAACAGTTCATTTTATCGCGCAATTAATTTAGATTAGAGGCATGAGGTATTTGTCCAATAAAGAGGTTTATGCACAATCCTAATTTGTGCCACTTGATTTGTCAATCACTGAATCCTATATACTCGCTAATTTATCGAGTGTCTAATAAGAGGAACTAAGCACGCTAAAAGCCATTAAACTTTCCAAAATTGAAATATTTCTTTTAGTCCGTCTGGGTTGAATCTGGCCCGTTCACGCTACCCTTAGTACTCGCAAATATGACGAAGACCAAGGAGGGCGAACCACAATCGTATACCAGGTGGCTCCAAGATGCTGTCTTGAAAAATAGAACATTTGGGTGGACTTAAAAAAATACGGAATTGTGAATGTTCACATGGATAAAGCCAATGTCTGCAGTGCTCGTATAGAAGTGAATGAGTAGGCTAAGTCGCGTGACTGGTGGACTTGTCGTTAAAAGGTGACGTGTGTTTGAGACTGCGGTGACAAGGTTATTGGACACAAATCAACACGATTCACTGCAAGTGTGTGTTGTCGCAGATTACAATGGAGAATGATTTTGGCACAAACAAGACCAGTGTTACCACAAGTCATAGCTGTTACGAGTTAAAATAGGCAAATTTAAACTATTTCAGAAGTCACCAACGACAACTTCTTCAGTGTTGATCCATCCACACATAACTTATTTGTCGTAAAGTTTGACCATGGCATGGTTAGGCGTGTTAACCATCCTTTGGCTGCGACAATAATGGGCCCTGATTATAACTATGGTCCTCTTTGTTTTTGCTGCATACATAAAAATGACTGTAGGCGAACAGATTATTATGCCTCATCTGGTTAATTGCCCCATTCGAGGTGCTCATAACCGAGAATTATGACTCACATCTTATAGTGCAAATAGCATACTGCCCTTTTCGAAAAGACGTTGGTAGTCACCTCTTTAAGTTAGAGAGTCACATAATTTTTAATGTTAACGCAATTACTCTCTACTTGATAGTCTAAACTTTGACACATCTGCAATTGGTTTTGTGGCGAGCAGCAAGAGAGCGCAGTAAGCATTCGTGAGCGAATGTGATTCAATAGATATACGTAACTATGTTCATTCAAAGACCTATGCTTAGCGAAGGTATATATACTCACCTGTTATTCTGTCCAGACACACCACCGCTACTGCATCAATAAATATACTGGGCCTGCTACAAGGTGACGACCATGCCATTGAACACATTTGGCCGTCTACAAGCTGAAAATCAAAGTGTTGCTAAGATGGCTTATAAAACAGCCCTGACCCGATTTATCTAGCTCATTTTTGATCATTCGCGATGGTCATCTCGACTTGCAGTTTGGTCCAGCGTAGTTTGCTTTTGTTCGCACCGATTAGTACCTAGCCTTTCTTCATATGATTTACTGGACTTCTGATATTCTATGATGTCCACCTCCATGGAAATATTAGCTACTTGAGCTTTTAAAACATGGAACGTTTCCACACACCCACAAATCGTTAGCCAATGTGAGGCAATTTCTTAAGATATCTCGCATGCTTTGGCTCCCATACTAAAGACGGAATATTCTATCTTCAAGTACTTCCACATATTCTCAAAACAAATAAGCATTTTGTAAGTAATGCCTATTAGGAAAATCATCATTATTGGTTGTAATAATGCCATGCCCTCCTTGATTGCTGGTTGGGAACCTAAGTAGTTTTATTGCGCAGTATCCTAATTAAGTCTAAAACAATCAAGGTCTCATTAATAACTTTTGGGTAAATTTAAGTGATTAAACCACACGAACTAGACCTGATGAAACATCAAAACAAGAAACCATATTTTAACCTTCAAAAATAAACACAAAATCGCAAGGAATAAAGCTGTACAAATTATCTTGGATATCGACTCATTTTGCGCAGCATTTATTTACTTCAAGCAACTATAGTTGTGAACACTATTTTATTGAAAAATGGCATCTAGACAACGTTTTTTTATTCAGGAAAAAAAAGGCCAAACTTATTAGACAAAAATAATTTAATGTCACGAATCTGTAATCACGTTTGATTAAGAGAACGTAATTGTCCCCGGTCATTTTTTCGCAGTTTTCCAGTGTCAAATGAGGTGAATGAAATCCTATTTGTGACTGAATCCTTTAAAATTACAGGCAGAAACGGACTTGGTGTTATTTAACCAGAAGGTAATCATTTCACTGACCAGATCTTAACTATTTCTTGTCACATTTAAAATTTAATTTTCAGATGATTTGGAATAAATGGTGTAAGTTTATGCAACGCTACCAGGTAGAGGTACACAAATTTTGGTTAATCTTATTTGTTGACATTTTAAAGCTCCAATATATTATTGTATAACTTGTAATTTAGACTTAGTTTGAGTAAATTGGCACTACACCTGGTACCACTAAATTAATTTAATTGCTTTCCGTGTAAAAACCTTTTATGTACAGAAAAAACATTAGTATTTTGAAGCTTGCAATGAAACACAACTGTCAGTAATTCTTCCGTGATATAAATGTCAACCACAAAAATTTCATTATGATTACTTTATTCTCAATGACTAGTCCAGAATTTGCCAAAAAGCTATCTTGAAGTTGAGCTCACTTTTGCATTTTACCCACTTGGAACCTGTGTATAAAAATAAAATTATTTATGCGATAACTAACTGTGATGCGCATGGCTCATTCTGGCTGAATTCCTCTCCGTATTGGTTTGCTGCTTTGGAAACGCAATTTCGTGGCATAAGCACATGCGAAATACTCTCACCTCGTTTCCACTTTGGGTAGCAAACTGGTAAAAGATGTTTTAGACGTACTGCTCCACTCCATTAACAGCTTTCCTTGCGACTAAAACATAAGCAACTAGCCACATTGAAACGCAGTAATGACTTAGGAAGCTTGAAGCCTACTTAGATCCTGAGGAAGATATATCAACTCTCAAACGACGAACCTCGCAAGGTGCATTTTGGAAAGGATTTTTCTCCACAAAATTCAGAAAAAACCCAACCCCCCCTTGTCCCCAGGGTTGAAATATCACAACTAGAACAGTTGTTGGATACCTCAGACTAGACATCAGAAGCCAGGAATTCGGCTCACATTTACAAAAT